TATGGACAACGAATTCTGGATTATGATTTTAATTCGAGATATATGGGATTATTATTGGTGGCCCAATAATCTGTACTGTATGTGTATATGTTTTTAAATTGGAGATTGTTTTTAATTGCTGTAAACCGCAATGAGTCGCCGATCCAGGCTGAGATATTAGCGGTATACAAGTGTATTAAATAAATAAATAAATAAATAAATCTCTCCAACTTTAACCTCGGCTCAGTCTTGGCTCGGCTCTAATCTTGACAGACAGGCATTCTCTGATTCTGCCTTGAGGTCCAGCGTTTTGCCTGCGCTTGCAGAAGGAGCTTCTCTTTGCTATAGCAACGTCAGCACAAATTGGCGGCCAGTGCTCCGGCTTGCTTGTCTGCTCCTCAGTTAATTACTTTGCCTTTGCTGCTGATCCGGGCCTTGGGGAAACACCAGCAATGTCTGAAAGAGTGCTCAGGTCTCTCTCACAAGGCATTAACAATAGCACAGCTAAGTCAGACCAAAAGTACTGTCTGCTCCAGGATACTGTTTCCCACCATGGTCAACCAGAAACCTCTGTAAAGCCCACAAGAGGGCCATGAAGACTGCCATTGCTTCTTTCCGCCCCAGCAGTTGGCATTTGATGCCCCCAAAACATGGAGATTCTGTTAAATAAGGAGTGGGGAAGTGTTTTGCTCCTCCATTGTTTTCGCCTTTTGTTCCCAGAAGTGCCATCATGGATTATGGCAATAACCATCAAAAGCAGGTTTCTCAAACTTAGATCCATAGATGATGTTGGACCCCAACTTCTAGTTGCCCCATCATTGTGGCCAGGAGGTTCTAGAAGTGAACATCCAATAAGATTTGGGAGCCAAGCTAGAAAAGCTTCTGAGCCTACATAAGAAGTGACCATCCCCAAATATTGGTAATGGTGTGATTCTCATGCACTAGCTTGGGAAGAATATATATTTTAGTTCTGAATCCCTTCACTATATTTATATCCCAGCTTTCTCCCAGACAGGGATCCAAGGCAGCTTATGAAAAGACAGAACATATAACTAAATATGTATAGTTTTTTTTAAAAAAAAACATACAAAATTAGGATAAAAACAATATGGTCATGTCTGTCTGGGGTGTAGAAAATTGTCTTACACAAGGTCAGGTTAATGGAGCAGCTATTCTTGCATTATCAGTTCGGAAGGACAGCCAAGGCCTTTAATTACATGCTACTGACCAGTTTAAACTGGAGACTTTGAAGACCGAACCTGGGGTTGTATGAGTTCAGCGGGCACTCTTCTTCCTCCTTAATTCACATGGAGCTGGAAACACCTCTCATTTGATGCTGCGGCTTCCATCTTCCTGTGTTAAGATGGTTATCTGGAGCAGAGCCAGCCAGGGCTGGGAGCTTTCTTAGCACCCAGCCACGGCTCCCACCCACAAGTTTGCTTTCTTAAATGAAACTGGCAGCTTTGTCTGGCGTTCCAACACCAGCTTGTTTGTTGCTTCACCCCAATGCCTTTTGATGTAACGCCTAGGCTTAACCTTGCATCTTGCCCAATCAAACTCTCTCCTGTATCCGGTTCGACTGGCAAGGCTCTTCATACCCCATTCCTAAAACATTCAAAATTCCAGAATGAAGGGGAACCACCTTAATCGTAAATCCACTTCTTTAGTGTAAAATACCAAGCATGTAAACATGCTTACTATGGGGTAAAGATTTGTATGCCTTTGTTGAAGGCATTTTCAAAGAATTTTGGACTGGGGACAGGGAGGGTTATTGGGGTTAAGTGGGACTTAGGAGTTAATATTTTATTCCATTACATCCTCTCTGGCTGCACAAGGCCTCAAGGGATTCATAAAAAGTTTGAAAAGCAATGATAAATTGTGTTGGCGAGATGAAACATGACCAGGGTATCTTTGCTTAGAGCGTGGAAAATATATCAGAATTGTCCAACCAGCAATAACCAGATTTGCTGTAGGATTTGGGGCATTCTTATCCAAAAGCGTATCTTTCCTAAGTTCATTTTCTTCTTGATTTTCATTTTTGGCCATCAAAGAACTTATAAAACCAATCTTTGTTCTATGCAAGATGAAGGGACTTCAACTGAGTAGCAGAGCAGGGCTTTTTGTGTAGTGGCTCCTACTGTGTAGCATACTCTTTTTATCATGCTTTAAATGTCCTTAATTTTCAAAGGATGTTTATTTGAGCGACATGTCCTTATTTACCCCAACATCTCATGTTTTGGACTTCAGAAGAATGTCTGTGGTGCTTTATATATACTGGTTTTATTTCACATTTTATTGGTGGCCTTTGGAATATTTTTGGATACAGTTATTTGTAGCTAAGTCTTTGCTCCATTCTATGGGAAAGAGTTGAAAGAGTTCTGTCATGTATCTCCCAATCCCGGCAACCTTTCTCTCGTTGCTCTTCCTTGGAGTTTGTTTCTCCAGGCACTGTTTTTGCACATCCCATTCTCCCACATTAAAATAATTGGGGGGTTTTATTGGCTGCCTGCTATTTTAAACAGGCACAGAGCACCATGTTATGTCAGTTATGATGGTGGGCTGCCTTTCTGTGGCCCACAGGGCAAGTCTTTGGGGGCTTTTTATGCTTCCTGAGTCTTGGTTGGTTAACTTTACCGCATGACTACTTTCCATCTTGGAATGTAATCTGTTACATAGAGTTCCTAGGCTGACTTTAATCCAGACACTGAACAAAAGATCAAACATATTCCCATTTAGCTTTAGCTACATCATCTTTTTTATCCTATGGTTAAAGACCCCCAACATGGAAGTCTACCTAGAGGCAGAACTTGAATGTATCCCTCTTGGCTGCTAGTAATCTATTTGTTCTCATTTCTGGCTCCATTGTCACTTTTCCATTTGGCAGTGGCATTTCTTTTAAAACTGGGCAGTTATGCTAACACCTCTCTTCTGTTCTTTTTTTCCTTCATCTTTCAGTTATGCATCGGACTATTGGCAAAGGGCCAGTGCTTTGGTGTGCGTCTAATGCAAATGTAGCAATTCTTGCAGGGCCAGTAATGCAGCAGGCGGCCTGGCTGTGCCCTGTTGCCTCTCTTGTTCCATTTTGTCCCGCAGAATTACTCTGCTTATAACACAAACACTTTTGGCTATCTACAGCAGGTTCCCCAGTAGAAAAGGTCGGACCTGGGCCACTTTGGTGTCCTTTAAAAACATATGTGACAACCTCTCTGCTGGATGCATGCCAAACTAGTTATAGATGAGACTGGCATTGGAAGAACCAATCCTATGTCAGAAAGTATTTTGGGGTTCTGTGACATTTATTTTATTACTTTTGAATGGAAAGACACTTGTAGCATGACATTTAAAAGAACAGTCTTAGATTCATCATATGAGATGTGTAAACAAAACACTTTCTCATCCGTTTTCTATCCATTTCGTTCTTACTTTTTCAAAGTTTCTGCATTTCCAAATTTTTGTCATTAGTGAGGCCTGTCAACCTTCTGTTCCCTGTGTAATTTCCACCTTTTCTATCGATGTGGAGCAAACTATCTGAGCAATCTTGCCACCCATCCCATTGAACCGGACTTCAAAGAGGTTGGGCATAATGTCTCAGTTTTTGGCCTATCAGATTTTCTGCCAAATTTGCATTCAAAACTCTTTTGGAAGTAGGGGGAAATTCCCTAAATGTATACAATTCCTTTCAATTTTTTTTATTCGTTCATACTGTGTAGTTTCCATTGCTTTTTGCATGTTTTGCATTTGCCACCCTCCCCATGAGAAATTCCTTCCTGTCAGGGAAGGGCAGAGGGGCATGTTCCCCCTCCCATTAATATGTCATTCCTTCTAGAAAAAAAGGGAGGAAAAATTACATTTTATAAAGAACGGGGTTTTTAGTTATATGCAGCCATTGATTACAGCACCCATACTCAATTTTTTCCTTGAAGCAGGCATCAATATAGATGTTTTTTGTTAATGTATCATGACATCTTTTGCTCTCTTGCGTTGTAAAGAGATGTGCAGATAAAGAAGTAGTGTTTTATGTTGAAAAGCATTAACTGATCTACTTCTGTGTGCTTTGAAACATCTTTTATTATCCTCGACTTTCTAGGGCTTGTAAAATGTAAGACCCTTTAAACTTTGGAGTTCCAAGATTTGTGGCACTCTGAGTTTTGTATCTTTGGAGGGCTTGATAATGCTGCCTTTTCCAACCATTTCAGGGGTGGTTTGGAATCCAACCTTCCATCTAGACCAAAGGTGTCAAACTTGTGGCCCTCCACATGTTTGTGACTCCAACTCCCAGAAGCCTTAGATCAGGGGTCCTCAAACTAAGGCCCAGGGGCCGGATACAGCCCTCCAAGGTCATTTACCCGGCCCTCGCTCAGGGTCAACCTAAGTCTGAAATGACTTGAAAGCACACAACAAGAGCAACAATCCTATCTCATCAGCCAAAAGCAGGCCCACACTTCCCATTGAAATACTTGAAATTGAAATAAGTTTATATTTGTTAAAATTGTTCTTCATTTTAATTATTGTATTGTTTTGAAGTGTTTTTTTTTTTGCACAACAAATAAGATATATGCAGTGTGCACAGGAATTCATTCATGTTTTTTCAAATTATAATCCAGCCCTCCAACAGTTTGAGGGACTGTGACCTGGCTCTCTGTTTAAAAGGTTTGAGGACCCCTGCCTTAGATCATCCAATGTTCAGGAATTTTGAGAGCTAAAGTCCAAAACACCCCAAGGACCACAAGTTTGACACCGCTGATCTAGACCTTCAGAAGTTTGGGGTCATGATATCAGACTGATCTGATGTTAGCTTGACATTGCATTTAACAGATGAAAAAATATCATAATGCAATTGATTTATTGTATAGCTATCTGTGGAGTAGTTGCAGAAACGGGGAACATGAAGTTACAATTTATAATTAAGGAAATTGAATTCCAATTGTATCCAGTCATATCTGTTTTCAGTATGTGGAAGCAGATGTTGACAGAGGTGGAAAATGAACTCACCAACTTGTACTTTCTCCCCATTTTCCCAGGTGATAAGGTGAACGGTGAAAGGAAGAGAAGGTGGAGATGGAACTGCCAAATCATGCCAAACAACTGCTGCTGCAGCTAAACCAGCAACGAGCCAAAGGTTTCCTCTGTGATGTGATCATTGTCGTAGAAAATGCCCTCTTTCGTGCCCACAAGAATATCCTGGCTGCCAGCAGCATGTATTTCAAATCCCTTGTCCTGCACGACAACCTGATCAACTTAGATACGGACATGGTCAACCCTACTGTGTTTCGACAAATTTTGGACTTTATTTATACTGGCAAGCTCTTAATGACCGACCAGCCTGGTGAACAGAACTTCAATGCTCTCCTCACCGCCGCAAGCTACCTCCAACTACCCGACCTGGCAGCCCTTTGCCGAAAGAAGCTGAAACGCAATGGGCGGTCATTCGCTGGCAGGGCTGGCGGTGCCCCCAGTGTTGGGAGACCTCCTCGTAGCCAGAGACTTTCCACTGCTTCAGTCATCACTCGTTATTCAGGGTCAACTGAGGGGTTGAAGAGCTCTCACTCTAAGGAGATGCCAAAGGGAAAAATCTCAGATGATGAGGTCTTCATCAGCAGCTCCAACCAAGAGAATTGTCATGCCTTCAATAGGGGAATTAGTAAGAATGGTGGAGATGGAAGCAGCAGCAGTGCAAATGGGAGCAGTGGGGACCAAGAACTTGGCCTCGACCTGTCCAAGAAGAGTCCATCGCTTCCTCCAGCAGCATCCCAGGATGACACACCGCACAGCGAAAGCCAGCGTGGTTCCCCCCGACCTGCCTCAGCCCCTGCAGCCAACAGTGCCTCACCATTTGAAGATTCCACCGCCGGAGCTCCCCCAAGCCTTGCTGACAACTGCGAGCCCATGGACATGGACTTGAGTGAAGACCGCCAGTCTCTTCCAGAAGGCAGCCAGCGAAAAAGCCTGCGCCACTCATCCCGCAAGAAAGAGTGGATCAAGAAGGACAGTACCTTTGACCGGAAGGAGCCTGGTGGCAAAGGCAGCGAGGAGAATGAGGGGCTCCCTAATGGTATCCTTGTGAGCCCCTTGTGCAAATCAGCAGAGCGGAGCCTTGGCCTGGGTGCCTATGGGTCTGAACTGCCATTTGCATGCAAAGAAGATGTGGAGAATGGCAAGGAGAACAGTGATGACAGTGGGCAGAGTGAGAGCGAAAGCGGTGGGCATACCAGCGCCAACTATGTCTACCGACAGGAAGGCTATGAGCCAGTGGCCTTTGGGGACAACCTCTATGTCTGCATCCCCTGCGGAAAGGGCTTCCCCAGCTCCGAGCAGCTAAATGCCCATGTAGAGAAACACACGGAGGAAGACCTCTACATCAAGGATGAAGGGACATATGACGACAAGGAGGAGGAAGCAGAAGATCTGTCCAATCCCAACCAGCCCTACACCACAGAGTCCCGCCCCTTTAAGTGCTCTGTGTGTGAGAAGAGCTACAAAGATCCAGCCACCCTTCGGCAGCATGAGAAGACTCACTGGCTGACGCGGCCTTTCCCTTGCAATATCTGCGGCAAGATGTTCACACAGCGGGGCACCATGACACGGCACATGCGCAGCCACCTGGGCCTCAAGCCCTTTGCTTGCGAGGAGTGTGGCATGCGCTTTACCCGGCAGTATCGACTGACAGAGCATATGCGCGTCCACTCAGGGGAAAAGCCCTACGAATGTCAACTGTGCGGCGGGAAGTTCACCCAGCAACGCAACCTCATCAGCCACCTGCGAATGCATACCTCTCCAACATAAGCCAAAGACTCTGCAATGAGCTCAGAGCCCACCCGCCATAAACATAACCTTTTTCCTAGACTTGCTGCTTTAAAACAAAAGAAACAAAACAAAACAAAAAAGAGGAGTCCATTCTGTTCCCCATTCAGTCATCGGAGATCTCAACCAAACAGAACTCCCTTCCTTCTTGTCCTTCCTGGTTGTTCCTCTTCTTTCACATTAAAAAAACGCAACAACAGCACTGTAGCTAATAATTAAGTTCCCACACTACTTTTTAACAGGTTGCCCCACACTTTTGATCAGTCAGGTCCAATTATAACAAGACATGCCACAACTCTAGGGTATTATGGGACCATGAGCCCAAGTGTAGAGAGATGGGTTCCTCCAGGGTTGGTTCCCATTGGCAACACTGCTCAAGAGCAGGATCCTTGTGACTGAAAAAGAGGGGCCCTGGCTACTTCTCTTCCCTAGGTTGGCTTTCACAGCACTTTGGAATTGTGATGAGAAAACACAACCAGGGGTCTTCTTTCATTTTTTGTCCCCCAGACGACCTTTGGCTGTTCTCCCTAGCTGTGAACCATCACATACTTTCCAATGCTTGTCCTTAACAAGTTATTGATGGGATGTTGTTACTTGTTGACAGCATTTTTTGAAAGTCAATTTGTTTTGTGTTTTACAATTTTTTTAAAAAAAAAACAACAACAACTGGGCAGCCAATTTGTAACTCCTTCAGGACCGAGGCCATGGCTTTTAGTATAATTAGCACCAAAAGTTGTTGCATGCCATGAAGGGAAGCATGAGCATCTTTGGACATTTATATGCTCTCTTTCCCAAATACACACACACTTCTCTTTTCCACCTTTCATCTTTTTCCCTCCCTGTCTCTCCTTTCACCTCTTTCGCCTTATCCATGACTGAATGGGGGTTGGATGCCCTCCCCACCAGGGAATTTCTTTCAAGTGAGCAGAGGTCATCTTTATGTTTTGTTTTGTTTTTTCTTACTAGTTTTGTATGAATACACTTTGCTTAGAGGTACTTGTGTTATTACGAGGAAAAAACACACACGCATCGATAACGTTTATGTATTTGTTGGAACTGGAAGGTGTGACGTAACTACGGAGCGGGTGGGGAGTGGGTTTGCTTTAGGCTGGAATTGCAACAAGTTCCTTTAGGTACTTAAAAAAAATATTTTGTGTGTGTGTGTTTGTGGGTACGCGTGAGTGCGTGGGTGCGTGAGTGTTTTCACTTTTTTTCTCCCTCACTAACAGACGGGCTGGTATGGATGGCCCGTACTCTTTGCTACCTCTTGAATTCATGAGAACAATAAGATGGTTAGTGAAATATTAGGTGTGATGTTTTGTCCCTAACCCCTTTTGCCCCCGTTGTAAGTAAGTGTACAGAGTAGAATCTAAATTAAAAAGTAAGGGATTTTTACCACCTCGTCCTTCCGTCAAGAAGTCAACGAAAATGATGATAGAAGCAAAACTTGGCCAAAGACAATAGGTAGGTTATAAGCCAAAGGCCCAAGTGAATAGCCCTATAGTGGCCTCTGGCTTTCACCAAATTACCATTTTTCTATCCATGAGGAAACTTTTTGTTTGAAATAAAAAGAGCTTTTGGGCTCTTTCCAGCCTTGTTTATTGAACCTGGATGCTATAGGGGGATGGTGTCTCTTAATCCGCTGCTTTCCGGACACATCTGTGTGAGCAGGTGACATCTGAACGGATAAGAGAATAAAGATGTAGCAGGCGATATCTTAACTAGGATCCAGAGTGCAATAAGAATGTGGGGGAAAGCCCAACCAAAGTGTTTCATATCCTCCCTTTCTGGGGAGGGTATGGGTGTGTGGTTTTCTTCTTTTTTATTATTATTGTTGTTGTTGTCGTCGTTGTCATTATTGTTGTTAAGGAAATCTTAATGCATGCACACAAGAGTTGGATAAATGGAAGAGAAAGTTCTCACTGCATCTGTAGAAGACATCACAGCCAACAGCTGCTATAGGTTTAGGAGGAGAGGACAGGGTATCGCCTGCTATTTTATGGCCCCTCAACTTCGTTGGCGTGACCTTTTCGTAAAAAGTAATGGCTCCCCCCCTTTGCTCCCCGCGGGTGGAGTGCGGTGGTAAAAATTTCGCAGTCCCTTTAGAACGATCCTCTCTCAATTGAGTAAGGTTTACATATTTGTTTCCTCTTTACCTTTCTTGCTCAAAACCATTGTTCTTTTTATTATTATTATTATGATTAATATTATTAATATTATTATTATTATTATTATTGGTAGGGTTCACCAAAGCCCTATGTCTTTTTTTCTTAAAAAAAAGAAAAAGAAAAAACCTTTTTTTCGTCTTTAAGTTTAGACCAAAAAATAAAAGTGAGTGTGTTCAACTAAAACAAAGATAAGCTTTCATTCCCCCCTCCCATATTTTTTGTTTTAAAAAATCCTGTTAAGAAATAGTCCATTTGGGGTCACTTTGAAATATAACTCCGTTCCAGATATTCAGAGAATACAGTATAACCACATTGAGCCTAATCATGTTACAGGGAATCAGTTCCCAGCCCAAGTCCTAATCCTTCATAACTATACCTCACTTATCATGAAGGTGGGCATCTTCTGACCTCCCTGTCCTTCTAGTGCTACAGTTTAATTTCCCATCTCGGTTTTGTGGGCCACTCTCAGAGCACTGATCTGAAACCATTTTCTCTTATTTCGTCATAAGATGTTCTCTCTTGGGGGAAAAAATCACTATTTTTTAAAACCATGATCTGCTTCAAGCAATGAAGACACAACCTTCACATTGAGTTCTATGCACAGTACACATAGCTTTCCCTATTGGGGATTCAGCCTTTTGTTTCACAGTGCAAAGATGAACCCATCTTTTACTGTTCTCAACTATCCCCATAAAGTGAAGATGGAAATCCATGCTGGCAGTGGATTTCTATCTTCCATGTCCTTAACCACCAGTAACTAAACAAAGCTTTTGCGCTCGCACATCATTCACCTCTCTAGTGTTGCACCGGCTATATTTCTTCTTGATCATGGGGAAATCACCACCATCATTGAGCACTGGTGGACCTTGCTGTGGTAAGGTTGGCATGTGGTTTGCCAAAATAAAAAACTCCACATCCACTAATCTGAAAGTAGAATTGGGGATGGAAACCCTCAACTGCCGGCATTGGCTACCAGCACAGAATTTCTGGTGTGAAATGTTGGTTTATCAACCGTGTAGGCTAGTGATGTCCAAATGTTGGTCCTCTGGGTATTAGGGACCCCTACTTCCAGAAGCCCATCTTGTCCAGTGGTCAGAAATACTGGGAGATGAAGTCCAAAACCCCTGGAGGACCAAAGGTTGGACACCATTGGAGTAGGACATCAGAGTTTGGTTTGATCTAGCCCCCCAACCTGCTCAGTTTTTCAGACCTTTTTTAACTCTTGAGATGCCTTCAGATCTGAGTCCTGAGCCAGTAATCTGGGGGCTCAAGTCAAGAGTGGAGGTATCTTTTGCTTTCTACTTACTTTCTTATCCCTTTCTGAAAAGTGGAACACTACCTAGCTCTTCCGCTGGGTCCCAAACTACATCTACATGTCTTCATTCCATGCCATAGTTCTGTGAAGACATCCCACCTCCATACTTTTTTGATCTTTCCAGCTGATATTAACCACAATAAGCATTAGTACAACCAAACTAAAGAGCTCGTGATTAGCCCTTCTGCTGAGCCATGATACCAGATGAATTCCAAATGATAGCTTAGCCAGGAAAGAGACATATTCGCATCCAGAGCTGGCCATATGTAGCATTGAGCCACTCACTTGGTGGCAAAGCCGAGCCTATGGAAACCATGGTTGTGTTCCCATCATGGTGTATTGCTGCTTGGTAAATGTTCATCAGTTGTTATCCAAAGAGGACCCCACCCCCAAAATGTAGCTAGTGCAAGAAGTATGCTTCAGTCCCTCAGAGTTGTGTTAGACTTCCCATAGTTGTGTGTGGTGAAGGGTGGGTGAAGGTATTAAGAGTTGGTTTGGATTTTGTGTTGCTTAAGGTTTGAAGTTTTTGGAATCTTGGAAGTTTCAGGATCTGCTATTGTTGGAGGGAGGTTGTTCATTTTTAAAAAAATATATCATCAAAGCAGCCTCCTCCTTCTTTTTATTTCTCCCCTCAGCACTTAAAAAATGCGACAAAAAGTCTGTGTACAGCGCGAGTATTGTACCAATACTGAAAAAAGTGTCTCCTTTTTTTCTCCTCCCCTCCCTTCCCTTTGCGAACGTAATAGTGTAGAGTTGTGTTCCATACACCAAGTTAATGACTTCTTTCCAAATGGTGACAATAATAATGAAAAACCTAATAATACTCAAAACTTCAGGGACTGTTCAGGACTCATGTATAGAGGGTCCGGACACTCAAAACTGCATTTGTACGACATAGTATTGTATCAAGCATTTTCTGTATTTTAATGAGAAAGCAAAACACTAGTTTCATATTTAAGATTTTAAGAGTTCTAGGGTTAGGGTGGGGAGGGAATTGCATTTTTGGTTTTGGTTTTTGTTTCTTATTTTGTTTTGTTTTTGAGATAGGAAAAGAGCCTCCTGAGGGGATTAATTTTTTTCATGTAAGGTTACAGAGGCCTGGCAGCTTAACTCTATGTTTTAGACAGTTTAGATCCAGAATGTTTTCGGAGTAACAGGAGAAGAAGAATAAAGAGTAAAGTAGGGGGAAAGTTGTATTAAAAAAAGATAGCTCATACCCAAATTCACAAAACTATTTTTTAAACCAAAGCACATTTTGAATGAGCATGGAACCTCACTTGGCTCAGAAAAAATAATAATTAATATATTTATCTCATTGTTTACATAAACTTTTACAGTTACAGACCTCAACAGATCTTAGGGGCCAGTCAAAATTAATTGATGCTTTTTCCATTGGTTTAGCGGTTTTTAAAAAAGGGCTATGACCAACCGCTGTGTAGTTAATTGGAAACAGAAAACACCTCACTAATTCTATAGAAAGTTATCTATCTTCTAACATATGTTGAGCATGCATTCAGTATCAGCAGCAGTGAACAACCTGTGGCTCTCTGGATGGTAGGTTTCAACAAGCCCAGTTGGCATGTCCACTAGTCAAGGATGATTGGCAACATATAATCCAACAGCATATGGAAGGCCCAGAGCACCCATTCATTCTATTATTCTCACCAAGTCAGTGGATGCCCTGTGATTCAAGGCCTCCATCTAGAGCAGTGGTGTCCAACCTTTGGTTCTCCAGGTGTTTGGAACTCCACTGTAAGAAGCCCTGGCCAGCTTATCCAATACTGAAGGAATTCTGGAAGCTGATGTCCAAAACAACTGGAGGACCAAAGATTGAACACCACTGGGTTACATCATAGCCTTTTGAAGAATGGACTTCCGTTTGCTAAGATACCATTGTGCTAGAAGGAATGGTGCCTCTTTAGGGTCTGTTATATATGGTGTCAGAGAAAGAGGTGGTCAGGAGAGTGAGAGACAGTAGAATGCAGAAAGGAGATGGATATTTCATCCAGACATCAGGGAGGACTAGTGAAAGAGACAGATGGTGGATAAATCAACTGGAAGTCTTCTTTAGAAGGGAAGAGGTGGGCACTTAACACAGGCTGTGACACCCAGACTGTCCTTTCTAGCCCCCTGCCAATGGGGGGATTGCCAAAAATAAAGCCAGCCAGAGGTGACCCAGGAGCCACCACACAACATTTGCACCAAAGAGCTTCTGAGAAGTAGCTTTATTTTGGGCACAAGTCTCAGAAAGGTCCTCTGTGCCACTCTGAACTTCCCACAGCTACTAAAGGGCTTCCTAATCTAACCAAGATCAGGCATGGGTTTGGGGGCATCGGTTCCTATAGTCAATTGGTTAGGTTCTGTCTCCCATTGACCCATGGGGGATGGACACACACTCCAGTGGGACTTTTCTTGGTGGGACTTTTACATTTCAGATCCCTGAAATGGGACATCTGCCCGGCCCAGATCACAGTCTGGCACCCATTTTCTCCCTTGCAAGGCTTTGTGGGCCATGGGGGTTTGGACAACCCAAGGCACAACAGAAGGCCATTGAGGTTGAAGGCCATTGAGAGCCCTTGCTCGCCTTCCATTGTAGAAACTCTTCTCCTCCAGTGACTTGGTCAGACTGTGACCTGGGTTGGCTGGATCTCAGGTGTGTAGTCCATATGTGTGGAAGCATTCCTTGCATATTATTATTTTTCTAAAGGGAAGAACCCAACAGACATGCAAAGTATTTCTGTGTAAGAAATGGCATGCCAGGTTTTGCATTGTTTAGATAAAAAGTTAGAATGATGACTGAAGTCGGTCTATAATTTCTGAAGCGCTTGCTCTCCAAAATTATACAGAACTCCCAAAGCAACAGCTCTCATTGAATTTTGTGCCGTTTATATTCTACTTTTCTTTTTAATGCCAAAGCCTCTTTCTCTAATGTAAAATCCATGGGGTGAGAAGATTTGGGGCAGAGCTGATGGAAAACAAACCTATTAATTTTGCCTGGTCTTGAATATCTTAACAAAGATGGTGCAAACACTATTTGACAGTGTTGTTTTTTGTATCAATATGTATGTGCAGTAATGAATGTATTTATTTCTCAAGATTCTGTATGCACAGTTTTGCAAGGAGAAGAAAGAAAGAAAAACTCAGAGCATTTGCAAAGAGGAAAAAAAGTTGTGTCCGCAGGGTCTTCGCTACATGATTTCAAAAAAGTGTTTAAAAAAGTTTTAAAACTTAAAAAAAAAGAATCTCAGAGACTCTCTGCATAGCCATAAACCATAACCTGTGAAGACAATACAAAGACTGGACTTTTGTAGCTTTTTTTTGCATAAAAGACAAATTTGTTTTGCTGTATTTAAATGTTTCCAATTACGGTGTCACTCTTATACAATTTCTTGTCTTCTTCTTTCCCTCTCATATGTTTGTATGTGTGTGTATATATGTGCGTGTGTGCACGTGCGTGTGAGCAAGTGGAAAAAAGCACTGATTTTGAGCGGTGCAGGTCAAAGTCTGGGTTAGCAGTATTTTTCTTTTTTACCATGTCACTTCTGTTCTGAAAAACACAGGAATGTCAGACTTGGACAAGGAAAATGCCTCGGGACATTCTCTAAAAAAAGGGAAAACTGAGATCCGGTGGAAGATTTTCTTTTCCTGTTTGGTTTTTACATGAGACTGTGGCAAAACTGGAGGAGAGAGCAAGCAGGTAGAGGCTCTTTTAGGTGTGTCAATTGGGGAAAAGTCCGAATGCCTCCCATCCTGTTCCTACCGTTTTCTTAGCCTTCTCAGTGTTTACAGTGTAAGCAATAATGGTCAAATATTTTGAGTTAGATGGGGCTCTTTAGAGACTAGTGAGGAAAAAAATCAACTTCTTACAGTGCACTAGCCATTGAGCTGATCTTGTTGGGTTTCCCATCCAATCCATGTGCTCAGGTGTTGTATCTGGCTTTATGTTGTTTCCCCCATAATGCACTACAGTGAGAGTGCTACACCACATATCGGCCTGCCTAAGTAAAGTTGGGTGGCTGTTTGTTGTTAAGGCTTAAAAAGACCATAAGGGGTCTTGGTGTGGTGTGAAGCAACCCCTCATCTGAGCAAAATAAAGCCAAATCCTAAACAAAACCTGGAAATGTGGCTGCTTACAGATGAGCAAACATTGAAGTCACGGTTCCACCTTGGACATTAGAGTCCATTAGGCACAGAGATATATAGGACAGCAAAGGTTGTCCTCCTTGAAGGCCCCATCTAGAAGATGGATGGGGATCAGGGAAGCAATGGGTGAAGTTCATTGTCTCCCCAGTCTGCCCTCTTCCTGCTCTGGGTTGTCCATGACTGTTCTTTCTGTACAGGATTCCAGACACATCTTTCATTGGCAGGAAGGGAGAAAGGGCCAGCTGGGAAATGTCCCCTTTCTCTGTGCTTCTCCGGAGGCCATTCTTCCCTCTTTTACAAGGGCCGTCCGGGTCATGTCCCAAACATCTTCCCAGAACATCGGCTCTTGGCCCATGATTTTCAGAGCTCATCTTGTTTGTGGGCCTTGAAGCAATAAAACTACCAAGCCATGGAAATGAAGGGAATGTTTATGCCAACTCTTGTATGTCTGTCTGTCCAGGAAGCCTTGTCCCCCAAGAGGGACACTTACATTGCATTATGAACTGTTTACCGCAGGGATTTTTTAAAAATGTATATAGGACTTCAAAATGAGGCCAAAGAGCCTTTTCATATTCCTCTGCTAGTTTACATTGCCACCAAATCTCTTGATTTGATGGTGCAACACAAGCTGATCTTGTGTCGCTGCCTCACTTCTGTCACCCTGAGACCAACCTTTCTCTGGGCCTGCCTTGGGGCCCCTGCTTGCCATCATGGCTTCTTTCTCAAATTTGGGAACAGCCTCCAAAACCAAATCCCTTCTCCTGGAAAGGAAGGGGCTACTAGTCTCTGGAAGGAACTGCCTACACTGGGGCCAGCTCCCTTTCTCTGAGCACGTAGCTTCATGTGTTATGGGGACGAATCCCCTTTTCTACCTCACTTGTACCTCCAGTGGATGTTGCAATACTTTTTTCTCTTTTTTTTTTAAACTGTCAGAGTTCTTGGAAAGGACTTGGAGAACGGGAACCTCTTTTTCCCCCTGATGATACTCTTTTCTTTCTCTGTGCCCTCCCCGCCAGGCCAAACAGCATTGGACATTGTGGTATGGATGCATTGGCCAGCGTTTCTCCATTCATGCAGGAATAGCATAGCTAACTCTTGGTGTCAAGAAAGGGCTTAGGCAGTTCGTAGGGTTTGCTTTTACTCCCAGATTATAGATAGATTTTGTAATTATCTATAATTTGACCAATCTCAAGGTGTTGGCAGTAATTGCATGAACCCAGTTTTGACTGTGAAATTGCGCATTTATTTTCCTCTTCAAGGAGGGGAGATCCTTTGGGTTATTACATTTTTTAAAACATTAAAGTTCAGCTGGAAGAACGAGGATATGCTTCCCGCCTCTCTCCTTTTTAAGCCTTAACTCTCTGTCCAACCAAGAGTCCCAGATGTTTCCTCAAGCATGGCTGACATTCCTGTTGCAATGTTCTGTTCCATTTCCTTCAAGAGCTTGAATTCAGGTCAGAGTTGCAGAATGCTGTGGCTGCAACTCAAGTGTCATATGGGGAGGGGGGTTTAAAAATAATACAGAAATTATAAGATGATCTCAGCATTCAGTAATTTGCAGTCTTAATGTACAGTGATGAGAAACTGTTATTTTATGAACTTTTCATTAAAAGGTTGATTGAAAATTGCCATTTTGGACTCGTGTGTCCCTTTCAGCAAAGCGGAGGGTCGGGGCGTAGGATGAAGGATGAGACAGGATGCTTGCCTTCCTATCCTGCTTGCCAATTCCTAGCCATTGGGCACAGCACATGAGATCTGGGTTGAGAGAGCCACATTTGTAGTGGGCCCTTAGTATCCATATGGTTTCAATTTTTCTTCCTTTTTTGCATGTAAACATTGCTCATTATGTACTGAAGAATGCCTGGACAGGATGGATTCAGGGTGAGGTCTGTGTTCCCAGAGATTTCCTCAGCATCCAAGTGATGCAGGGCACGATGAGCAGCTCCATGCTTTGGCCCTTAAGCCACACCTTGGCCTTCTTCTCCACAGGAGAACATTTTTCCAGGTGGAGTATCTTCTTGGATTTGTGCTTGGGATATTTTCTTTTCCTCCAAACCAGAAAGAGTGCCCATCCTGTCCTTAACTTCCACTCCCTACAAGGGCAAAGGATCCAAGCCTAATATTTAGAGATTATTTCCTGTGTTGTAATGTTGGCTAAGTGTGATCCAGCCCCTCCTTTTGCTTCCAGTCCAGCTGCATGAAACAATCCTTAACAAGCTGTCTTCCAGCCCTCCCTCTTGTAATTCCCTCCCTTCCCTCCTGCTCCAAGGCATTTGCAGGCCTGACTATATCTTTTCAACGCCTTGACTAGGAGCTTTGAATTTAGCTGGTTATGTGGCGCCCCCCCCCCCCCCATGCCTGGCAGGTTGCAAAGTCAGCAGTGCCTGGTTAGAAAATCTACTTTATCTGTCCTTTGAGATGTGCTTCACCCAACAAGGTTAAAGAGAAGGACAGCAAAGTGCAGGGGGAAAAAACAGATGAGGAACCCATTGCTGGGGTAGGGGGAGGAGCAGCAAGGGAGACAACAAGACCCTCAAAGGCTGTGTGTCTGCATCCACATGTATGCCTTCCATGTGATACAACGGAAACAAACCCTACCAACTCTGTTCAGGTTGGGATGAGATTATCCATTATTAAAATGCAGATGGTATTGAGGGTAGACCCCCCCCCCCCACCTCCCTTGCAAGGCCATCTTGTCGTTTCGGAGGCTTTGTTGTGTAGATCTGTTAAGACAACCCACACTGCCCATTCTAAATCAATGGTAGGGCATCAGGAAAGCTACAACCTGCCCTCACCAACAGACATGCCAGCCATGTGGTTGGCATCTATGAGAAGGGGCCATACATGTAGTGATGAGCACTCTCTCCCACAGAGCCTAGTATGCAGTAGAGACGTTCAGATGGTTTGAATTTCTGCTTGTAGAAGCTTCACCCAGCATGGCCCATGGCCCGGTCTCATTGGAGTGGTATCTTCTTATATTTGGGTAGATGATAAGTGTCCACTTTCTGAAATAAACTATTTCAGTTCTGGAATGCAGTACCTCGCCATGATCACTAACTCGGGTGGCTGGCTTTATGGTAATTGGACAAAGGCATGGAGGAAGAATTGAGAAAGAGGTGGATATTCCCTCCAGTTGTTGCTATTGTGAACTTTCAAGTCATTTCTGCCTTATCACAAGGTCTTCTTCGCAAAATTTGTTCAGAAGGTGCTGAAGGTGTGTGATTTGCCCAAGCCAGTTTCCATGGCCGGCTGCAGATTCAATCTGCAATTTCTTGGGGTCCTAATCCAACACTCAAACCACAACACCATGCTGTTTTTTCCCTCCAGTAACAGGCAGTATATACCTTTGTAGGCCAGTTGCTGAAGAACACAAGCAAGGGGAGCCTTGGGGCATTTTGTTGGCCATTGGATGAACACACACTTCAGCTTGGCATTAAAAGAAGCACAGAGTTCACAAAGTTCTTCTACACACACATGAGAAACTGTTCCTACTATTGAGAGAAGGGCATTTCCACCAGTAGTTTTAATGGTCAAATTGATATAGAAGGACATTTGACCTTTCAAATTCTTGGATGCCAACCTGTTTAGAGCATTAAAACATAAGCAGCTGCACCATGGATTGGGCTTCAAAGAAACTAGGCATTTAAAATGGAATCACGATGCTATACCTGCGTAGCCCTTGCACATGATGCCAGCTGCAGAATCGATGCCCCTTAACACTTGCAAGCCTACTTTCTGCCCATTGTATTTTGAAATGTTGCTGTCTCTTACAGAATGTCCTTCTATTATCCTGGGCCTCTGCCTCGCTTTTGCTGTGCCTTTTTCAAACCTGTGTCAGCGTTTCCACAAAGGACAAAAATGCTAGCACTGTAGTTAATTGGCATTGAGTTGACAACGCTGCTTTAAGGAGAGCCCATTCATTATTCTGTTCTCCCCAGGCCCCCCTTCTTTGATAAATAGCACACCAGGGTTTGCTTTCTTCCTAGCCTTGTTCAGCTTTGAGCTTCCTCAGCCTTCTCCCTATCTCCCTGCCCCCTTAAAAATCCTCCATCAGATAAATCTCTGTCCCAACGCATCTCCTGGTGCGTACTTTTTCCTGCCCTCTTGAGCAACTTCCTGTGGCTTCTTCATCTCACACCCCATCTTTTACAGCCCTCCTTTTTATGATTCTCTTTGGTCCCTTCGCCAGCCCTTTTCTGCTCCCTTGCCCGGTTCCCAGCATCAGCATGAGATCATGTTTTTTGGCTCATGGCACCACAGCGCCATCAGATGCTTTGGAAAGGGGCTGTCTTTGGGGGATTCCGATCACAGATGGAGGCTTATTGAGGTTAAACCATGCACATTTGGCCAGAAAGAGCACTGTGCAGGCCTGCAGTGTTCCTCAGGGTGGATCTGTCCAGATGGGGATCATCTGGAATGTCAGAACTGAGCCAGTGAGTTGGTGCCAGGGCTAAACAAATCTCAGAAGGGACCTGGGGAGCAAAGCTGAGTAACACATCGGTGGCACAAGGAAAAACCCTTCTCAAGGGTTCCCATTTCATACAGGAAAGCCTTTGAATAGTCCACCCTGTAATGGAGTATTCAATTGCCAGCCAATCTAAAGTGAAGTAAAGATTTCCCCTTGGCATTAAGTCTAGTTAAGTCTGATTCTGGGGGGTGGTGCTCATCTCCATTTCCAAGCCGAAGAGCCGGCATTGTCCATAGACGCCTCCTAGGTCATGTGGCCAGCATGACTGCATAGAGTACCATTACTTTCCTGCCAAAGCAGTATCTATTGATCTACTCACAAATGCATATTTTTGAACTGTTAGATTGGCAGAAGCTGGGGCTAACAATGGAAACTCACCCTGTCCTGCAAGTTTGAACCATCAACCTTCCGATCAGCAAGTTCTGCAGCTTAGCGGTTTAACCCGCTGTGCCACCGCAACCATGAATTGCTAGCAGCCATGAATTGCTAGGAATCTCAGGTCCTCCAGCACAACAATATGGTCAGCCTCCAGCACTAGAGGACCTAGAGAGGTGCAAATACGGTTGCTTGGGCCTATCAGAAATGAATCATAACACAATCCCTTTTTCTATGTCAGTAGAAAAAGGAAAAACAAGGAGGCGATAGGGCCTCTTCGAGGAGAAGATGGGGCAATGCTGACAGGGGATAGGGAAAAGGCAGAACTAAATACCTTCTTTGCCTCGGTCTTCTCACAAAAAGAACGTCATCTTCAACCTCAGCAAGATGGAGTGGATGAGGGATTAGAGGACATCCAACCCCAAATTGGGAAACAAGTCGTCCAGGAATACCTGGCCGCTCTAAATGAGTTCAAGTCCCCAGGGCCAGATCAACTACACCCAAGAGTACTGAAGGAACTAGCGGAAGTCATTTCGGAACCATTGGCAACCATCTTTGAGAGTTCTTGGAGAATGGGAGAAGTTCCAGCAGACTGGAGGAGGGCCAATGTGGTCCCAATCTTCAAGAAGGGAAAAAAGGATGACCCAAACAACTACCGTCCGGTCAGCCTCACGTCGATACCAGGCAAGATTCTGGAAAAGATTGTTAAGGAAGTGGTCTGCAAACACTTAGAAACAAATGCGTCATCGCTAATAGTCAACATGGATTTATCAAAAACAAGTCATGCCAGACTAATCTGATCTCTTTTCGATAGAGCTACAAGCTGGGTAGATGCGGGGAATGCCGTGGATGTAGCGTACCTGGATTTCAGTAAGGCCTTCGACAAGGTCCCCCATGACCTGCTGGCAAGGAAACTAGTCCAATGTGGGCTAGGCAAAACTACAGTGAGGTGGATCTGTAATTGGTTAAATTGACGAACGCAGAGGGTGCTCACCAATGCTTCCTCTTCATCCTGGAAAGAAGTGACGAGCAGAGTGCCGCAGGGTTCCGTCTTGGGCCTGGTCCTGTTCAACATCTTTATTAATGACTTAGATGAAGGGTTAGAAGGCAGGATCATCAAGTTTGCAGACGACACCAAATTGGGAGGGATAGCCAGAAGACAGGAGCAGAATTCAAAACGATCTCGACAGATTAGAGAGATGGGCCAAAACAGGGACAAATGCAAGATACTCCACTTGGGCAGAAAATACAAAATGCAAAGATACAGAATGGGGGATGCCTGGCTTGAGAGCAGTACGTGTGAAAAGGATCTTGGAGTCCTCGTGGACAACAAGTTAAACATGAGCCAACAATGTGATGTGGCGACAAAAAAAGCCAATGGGATTTTGGCCTGCATCAATAGGAGCATAGTGTCTAGGTCCAGGGAAGTAATGCTACCCCTCTATTCCGCTTGGTTAGACCACACCTGGAATATTGTGTCCAATTCTGGGCACCACAATTCAAGAGAGATATTGACAAGCTGGAATGTGTCCAGAGGAGGGTGACTAAAAATGATCAAGGGTCTGGAGAACAAGCCCTATGAGGAGCGGCTTAAAGAGCTGGGCATGTTTAGCCTGAAGAAGAGAAGGCCGAGAGGAGATATGATAGCCATGTATAAATATGTGAGAGGAAGCCACAGGGAGGAGGGAGCAAGCTTGTTTTCTGCTTCCCTGGAGACTAGGACAGAACAATGGCTTCAAACTACAAGAGAGGAGATTCCATCTGAACATGAGGAAGAAATTCCTGACT